CGTTCTGTTGTACGTAGGGTTGCTATGAATCAGAGCTGACTTGATGGCACCTAACAACTAACAACATGGTCTACTATGCCAGGAATGACTAACTGAAGAGAAACCATGTTGCATTCATCCTCAAAAAGAACATTTCAAGATCTAACCTAAAGTACAACATATGGATATTATCTTATCATTGATAAGATCAATGATAAGATAATATCCATATGCCTACAAGGCCAGTGAATACAACTTTTATTCAAATTTACACACCAACCACAATGCCAAAGATGAAGAAATTGAAGGTTTTTACCAACTTCTGCAGTCTGAAAGTGATCAAACATGCAATCAAGGTCATTGATAATGACTGGTAATTGGAATGCAAAAGTTGGAAACAAAGAAGGGTCAGTAGTTGGAAAATATGGCCTTAGTGATAGAAATGACACAGGAGACCACATGATAAAATTTTACAAGACCAGTGACTTATTCATTGCAAATACCTTTTTTCAACAACATAAACAAATGACTATACACATGGACCTCACCAGGTGGAATACACAGGAATCAAATCAACTATATCTGTGGGAAGAGATGCTGGAGAAACTCAGTAAGATCAGTCAGAACAAGGCCAGGGACTAACTGCAGAACAGACCATCAATTGCTCATATATAAATTCAAGTTGAAGCTGAAGAAAGTTAAAACAAGTCTGTAAGAGCCAAAGTATGATTTTGAGTATATTCCATCTGAATTTAGAGAATAGATTTGATGCATTGAACACTAATGACCAAATACCAGATGAGTTGTGGGATGACATCAAGGATATCATACTTGAAGAAAGCAAAAGGTCATTAAAGAGAAAGAAAAGACCAAAATGGATGTCAGAAGAGATTCTGAAACTTTCTCTTGCAAATGGAGAAATGATGAAGTAAAAGAGGTGAACATAAAACACTAACATATAGGGTAGACACATGTTTTGGTTACCTAGTGTGGCTCTGACAGGAATATACCACAAATGGGATGGCTTTAAAAACAGGAGTTTATTCTCTTATAGTTGGGAGAGTTTAAATCCAAATTCAAAGTGCCAGGCTCTAGGTGCTGGGTGAAAGCCCCTCAACCTTGGACTTCAGCTCTGCCTCCTGCTCCCGGCTCACTGAAGCAGAGGCTTTTCTTCACTCAGTTGCTGGCTGCTGAAGCTGACAAACCCAAGGTTGACAAGTGAAAAAGCACAGTCCCAACGTTACCAAACAACATGGCAGGCCACTAATTCAAGTCCAGATGAAGTCCCAAGATCGGCAGGGCATGGCAGGCTGTTGAACTATATGACTTGGCTACATGCAGGGTTCAAGCATGCCAAAAGGCTAGACACTGTTCTCAAGGCATCTCCTTATATGCGGAAGCAGACCACATCTCTAAGGCAGCTACTCAGCTGCTCACAGTAGATTCCACCATGGAGATGATTACCAGTCTCATCATGGGGAATACTACATCTAGCTGCCTAGTCACTCAACCAGGCCCAGCCAAACTGACACACAAACTTAACTACCACAACACATATTAACTTGGGTGAAGGGAAAAAAAATAAAAGAGCTAAACAGAAGATTTCAATGGGCAGTTCAAGAATGCAAAGTATAGTATCATGATGAAATGTGCTAAAACCTGGAGTTAGGAAACCAAAATGGAAGAACACATTCAGCATTACTTAAGCTGAAAGAATTGAAGAAAAAAATTCAAGTGTCAAGTTGCAATATTGGAGGGTTCTATGGGCAAAACACTGAGGATGCAGGAAGCATCAAAAGAGAGAAGGAATACAGTCATTGTACCAAAAAGAATTGGTTATGTTCAACCATTTCAAGAAGTAGCATATTGATGCTACTGAAAGAAGTCCAAGCTGCACTGAAGGCATTGGTAAAAAACAAAGCTTCAGGAAATGATGGAATAACAGTTGAAATATTTCAACAAATAGATGCAGTACTAAAAGCACTCTCTTGTCTATGTCAAGAAATTTGGAAGATAGCTACCTGGCCAACTGACTAGAAGAGATCCATATATGTGCCCATTCCAAAGAAAAGTGATCCAACAGAACGCGGAAATTATCAAACTGTCATTTATATCACATAAAAGTAAATTTTTGCTGAAGATAATTAAAAATGGTTGCAGCAGCACATTGATAGAGAACTGCCAGAAATTCAAACCTGATTCAGAAGAAAATATAGAAAGAGGGTGTGGTAGTTAAGGCTGTGTGTCAACTTGGCTGGGCCGTGATTTTGAGTGGTGGTAGTTGGATATAGTTATTCCCCATGATGAGATTGGATGTCGTATTGTCAACTCCATGGTGGAATCTGCTGTGAGATGTTAATCAGTGGGAGGGGAGTTGCATTTGAGGTGTGGCCTCCTCCTAGTATATATGGAGAAACATTGGGAAAGGTCTCTAGCCTTTTGGCACATTTTGGATCCTGTATTTGGCATTTGCATCTAGCAGCACTAGAGAACTGAGACAGAGAGATACCATTGCTGATGCCAAATGGGTCTTGGCTGAGAGCAGAGAATACCAGAAAGATGTTTACCTGTGTTTTATTGACTATATAAAGGCATTTGGTTGGGTGGATCATAACAAATATGGATAATATTGCAAAGAATGGGAATTCCAGAACACTTAACTGTCTCATGTGGAATCTATACATAAAACAAGAGGCAGTTGTTCAAATAGAACAGGGAGATACCGTGTGGTTTAAAATCAGGAAAGGTGTGCATCAGAATTGTATCCTTTCACCATACTTATTCTATCTGAGCAAATAATCTGAGAAGCTGCACTATATGAAAAAGAATATAGCATCAGGATTGGAGGAAGACCCATTAACAATCTGGAACATGCAGATGACCCAACCTTGTTTGCTGAAAGTGAAGAAGATTTGAAGCACTTATTGATGAAGATGAAAAACCTACAGCCTACAGTATGGATTACACCTCAACACAAAGAAAACAAATATCCTCACAGCTGGACCAATAATCAACATCATTTTACTTGGATCCAGAATCAATGTCCATGGAAACAGTAGTCAAGAAAAAAATGACATATTGCATCGGGCAAATCTGCTGCAAAAGACCTCTTTAAAGTGTTTGAAAGCAAAGATGTCACTTTGAGGACTAAGGTGTGCCTGACCCAAGCCGTGGTATTTTTAATCCCCTCATATGCATGGGAAATCTAGATAATGAGTAAGGAAGACAGACAAATAATTGATGCATTTTAATTATGGTGTTGGCAAAGAATATTGAACATGCTATGGACTGCCAGAAGAATGAACACATTTGTCTTGGAAGGCATACAGTCAGAGTGCTCCTTAGAAGTGAGGATGGTGATATACTTTTTGCAAGTTATTAGAAGGGACCAGTCCCTGTATGAGAGTCAGGAAAAGCCCTTAATGAGATGGATTGACACAGTACCTGTAATAATGGGTTCAAACATAGCAATGATTGTGAGGATGGGGCAGTGTTTCGTTATTGTACATAGGATCTCTATGAGTCAAAGCTGACTCAATGGCACCTAACAACAATAATAATGAATAATGAATCAAGGAGAGAGAGGAAGGAACTCCCCCATGGTCAGAGGCTGGGACCAGAACACTTATGGGGGACGAACCTTGATGGGGTTGGGTACAGACCCTTCTCCCATTTTTGGGGACAGAAAAGAGAGATGACTGCAAATGCTGGTACATATAGATGTGGTGATGGGAAGGTGAGGCTGCTCATTGGCTGTCATTTTCCCAATGATGTCTGTGAGGTGGGAGTGGAACATAGAGAAGGTTGCACATCTCAGGGACTAGGGAGGCAGCCATTCTAGGACACAAGATCTCTGAGTAGCAGGGAGAGCCTGACATTTTCACAAAAGGGTCAGTCAGCCTGGTGATGATGAGGCTTAGGTCTTACCAAGGGTGTGGGCAGCTGAGTGGAGTTGAGGTCAAGGGACCAAGAGTCCAGGTCTTTGGAGACATGATGCAATGTGTATGGATGTCCCCAAGGACAATGACAGGAGTAGCATGTGGAAAGGATACTGAAGCAGACACTACCATCTTCAGGAGACTTACTTATCTCACATGGGAATATCAGCTACTTGAGAACACAGACTAAAGCTGTCTTGAGCACTCTAGTGTCTAACAGTAGGCATGCAGGAAAAAGCAAACAAATGGATGCATGTCTAATATAAAATTTGATCTTTATCCTTTAAAATTGGGGAAACTGAGGTCCGAGGTCCCCCACATATGTCTGTCCCCTGTCCTCAACAGAGGACGAATGCTTTGTGTGTGTACATTTTTTAAACCTTTCCCTCTTCCTCCAGGCCTGTCCCCACCTCCTCCCTAGCTCAGGCTTCCAGGTCTCCATTTGGCTCCCTCACATCTGGCTTCCTGGACTGCTCCTTTGTCAGTTCATCTGTGTCTCTTCCCTAGGCAAAATCCTCCCTCTCCAGGAGCAGACCAATCTCTTACAGGACTTTCAGGGGTTTTCCTGCTCTGGCCACAGATCCCCCTGGGCCCCCTGGAGGTCTATGGGTCCACACTCTCCCCTAGGATCTGGGCCCCTGCCCTCTGATGAAGCTCTGCCTGCCTTTCAGTGTTCATCTTCACAGGAAGGGGAGCGGACGGTGGAGGCCCACCGTTATTTTCTCCCATGGATATGAGCCCCCTGGTGGCAAAGGTCAGGCCCTCCTCAACTGTGGAACCCAGCGCAGGGCACTGGGCTTTGCTGCAAGGAATGTGAGTGAGGTCTGTGTGCCCATGTGTACTCACAGGAGCCACTGGCAAGAGCTAAAGTGAGAATAGGTGAGACTAGGAGTCACATAGTGGAGCAGTGGTGGTACTGAGTCTGGGCTGGAGCTGGAAGGCTTTATTATTAGCAAACCTCTGTACACTATACACTGGGTGGAGGGAGGGTGGGGGAAGGGTTTCTGCAGGACAGAGTAGACGTGGGTGTGTGTATGCCCAGATGTCTACCTCTCTCCTCCAGTGGCCACGTAGCTCAAGGGCTCAGGGCCGGTCACATGGGACAGGCCCCTTCCTCCGGTCCCGGCTCAGCAGTGTCACCAGCTTGGCCTTGAAGCCCGTCTGAGCGCCAGAGCGCACGCTGGCCCCGGCCTCATCGCCGGCCTCACTCAGCTCCAACTCAAGCAGCCGCCGGTACTGGGCCTCCAGGCTGTCGTCGGGGCCGGGGCCGGGCCAGCTCAGGTCTTCGCTGTTGTGGTAGATGCTGCTGGCCTCGGGACTGCCCTCCATGGCGCACAGGTTCTCATAGAGGTGCTCGGCGGCGGCCGGCGGCCCGCTGGCGCGCTTGGCCACCACGGCG